CGCTCCATAATGCTATTTAATTTATACATCTAACCTAGATTAAGACTATCTAAATATATTTTGTACAGTATCTTGGCTTCGGATGACGACGAAACGGTCAGTATGCTGTTACACCACCCAATCTGCCGTATGTTGGCCACACTGCCCAACTGTCTACTGAGTCTCTCGGTCCGAACGCATTCCATCAAAACCTAGTAAATGTCTTCAATGACGCCGCAATTGCTACAATAAGGAGTTGGTGTAGTGCCCATCAAAAAGGTATACTTCTTTGAAGGAATGTTCCCAGAGCGCAACCTCAGAGCCGTCACAGCACCAAGTTTATTCATCATACAATTATTAATCCATGGAACTTCCAGTGGCTCAGGTTGAATTGTTTTGAACCAGATACGTTTTTCTTTGGATCTTTCATCAAAGTATTCTTTCCACAGCTGGTGGCAATAAGTTTAAATTTTGTACAAACAATCTGTTTAATAGGGCAAAACAGATATCGTATCGCCAGTACAATAAGCTCGCTTAGCAAGTGAATCTACCTTCTCATTACCAATAATGCAAACGTGTGAGTGAGGGTATCCACTGAAGTCTGACTGCTTTAGAGTTACGTTGTAATTCTAAGATCTGGTCTATGATTGTATAAGCTATCGGGGTGCCTCGAATAGTCGAGGTTGACCGAGCTATGTGTTGAAGTGAGCTTTTAGAGTCAGTCAAAATTACGAATCTAAAAAAAGCTCAGCATTCATTATGGACAAGTCAGTGTCTATTTGAAAAAGCACATTCGTCTTGCCATCAGGATCATAAAAGGCTGCGCCAATCCCATCTTTGTCCTTGGATCCATCGGTATATATTTCATAAAATGCCGAATAATGTTCATTGAAGTACCTACAACATATATTCCTTAAATGCTACATATTATATCGCCTTTTTGCTTTTTCTAACGTGTCTACATATATTGATAATAATGCTTGCAGATAAATCAATATAACTAACCCACATAAATCTCGTAAGCATTTCTAAATTTTGAGAACATTAAACTGCTGCTTCTTTAAATCTTTCGTGAACGGTGGGTAAAATCGGTTTATTTTTCCTATTCCATGAATTGATGTTAATTTACGACTGTGCTACTAAATCGATGAGAATACTGCTAGTTTTGATTGATTTACATTTCATCCAAAATTTGCCCGCTAAATAACATCTACGTATATGTAGACACAGTAGGTTGTAAACACAGGTCTGCTTCCATCACATGGATAGGGGTACTTTTTATATATCCGCCTAGAACACGGATAACCTGATTTTGAACTTTATCAAGTTTGTAAAGATGGGACTGGCAACTATCACCAAACAAGAAGCCTCCATAAGCCATGCGGCTTCTCACAATCGAGATATACAGCCTTCTCAGATGTCTTGGAAGAACCCCCCAACTCGGACCAGCTAAAACCTTTAAAATATTTAGGAACTTAGATACTTTTTCCAGAGTCTCGTTTATGTGTTTAGACCATCGAAGTGATCGATCTAACCACAGAACCAAATATTTGACATTTTGAATTACTTCTAAAGGCGCGCCATTAATTCGAACACTAAAATCTTGTTGAAATGTTCCCTTCTTTTTGACGTGGAGAACTGTAGTCCTAGACGGGATAATAAACTTGTAAGATTATTTAGGGGTCTCTGTAAATGATTCACCGCGGCCGCAATATTCTTTTCGGTAGAATAAATAACAAAATCATCTGCATATTGAGAAATATATACATGGTTGTCATTTATTTCTTGGACTATGTCTATGGTCGCCACATTCAAGAGCAAGGGGGATATAGGATCTCCCTGAGCTAAACCCCGACCCGTGCTACGTACAACTTCAACTCTACCCGCTTGTGTCCTTAAATGTCTTTCTTTAAGAAATTCCCAAAGGTACACATCCTAGAGCCAACACCTAACCGATCCAGGATAGACAGCATACCACTCACATCAATGTTATTATAAGCGCTATCGATGTCAATAAAACAACCTACAGCAACCCTGTTATTACAAAAACCGGTTTGGATTCTAGTTACCAGACGACTCAAATTATCTAAGCATGACCTATATTTCCTAAATCCCAAAGTATCATCAGAGAATACACCTCTTTTTTCTAAATACCATTCTAACCTTTTTTGAATAATAGAGTGAAAAATCTTACACAGACATGATATAAGTGAAATTGGTCGAAGAGCTGATAAGTCATGGCCATGGCCATCTTCCGGGTTTTGGTATAAGAATTAAATTGATATCACGCCATTGTGTCGGTACAAAACCTAATAAAAAGAACTTATTAAACATATTTACTAAAATCTTTTTGGTTATTTCAGGAAGATTTTTGATCATAGAAAAGGAGATTTCGTCACAGCCAGAGGATGTATCTTTGGATTTAATGCTTTTCTCTAGTTCTTGTACTGTAATTGGGTATTTCAATAATGGGTTATCCGAATAAAAATTAGGTTTGTGAGATTTCGTAGCAATTTATTTGATGTAGGTACTTTCATCCACAAACGACCTATGTGCCCTATATCCCTTAAGCCACTTCATTCTACGCCACATGTCACTCGAGGACATTACAGTATCTATCGAATCACGAATGTGTGCCATGCTTTGCTCTGGGTCTTTTTCAAGAGTTTTGCAGTCATGAGAGGATATCCCAATTTTGAGGAGTGGGATTTCGCCAAATTGGCTAAAGCCAATCTACGAAGTGCAACTGTTTTAGACAGTGCGGGGTTTCAGTAAGGTCTAGGTCGAAATTTAGAATCCGGATTAAGGTAAATTTTAATACAAGGTATGTGTCTGTCTGCAGCCTTGTATAACTGCTCTATACATTTATTATAAGCCACTTGAGGATTTTCAGGGAAACTTAAATCTGTAAATACCTCCTTCAAATATGACTGGTACGATTCCCAATCAGCATATTTGAAATTACGTCTTTTACGAAAATGTAAGTTACACGTAAAAGTTGTTGAAATTTTTATAACGAGATGATCGCTACCCAGTGATTCATTGGTAACTACCCAATTAAGTCTCACCGCTGTATCTGACGTGACCATGGTAACGACTGGTGATGACTCTCAGAAGTTACCATCAACGAATTGGAAACGTGTGGGTGTACCGTCGTTTAACGTAACGTAGCTGCTCAATAATAAGTAATTCGTCAAAAATCTGAGTCCCTTTAATATCTGTTTTATACGACCAGCTCGTGTGATGTGCGTTAAAGTCTCCGACTATGATAGACTTGCTCTGTTCATTTGAAAATAACCATAGCCAATCACTATCACTAGTCATCGTATTAGGTGAACAATATACTATAAAAACATTTTCTATGTGTTCACAGTTATATATCCTAATGTGATTATTATCAGAGGTTATCCTCTAAGCCTCTATTGGGAATTCGAATCGGAACACGCTGGGCCTGAACTTATTTATGGGTTAAAATAGCATCGCCTCCATAAGAAACTTCTCTGTCTAGTCTAAAGATCCCCTTGACGAGTCCCCGAGAAGAGTCCCTTACTTTTAAAAAGTTATCTGGTTCGAGCCAGGTTTCACTTACTGCTGCAATGTGTACCATTTCCTGGACCAATAACTGCTCGAATGATTTTAGCTTAGGTCTCAGACTGCGAGCATTTCCCTGTACAATATTTAAATTAATATTTTTCCTAACAGACCTATCCATTCACTGCACTAAATAAATTTTTGATTGTCGTAATATTAGCCATCGAGTTCAAGTTCAAATTTCAAAAACTTTTTCCACACTAGAGTGGAAAAAGACGCTTTTGGGCACAGATTTCTAATGAAAAAGAAAGCCTTTCCGAGCTGGAGACGAAAAAATATTATAAAACACTTTCCAGGAAAATCCTCAAAGAACTCTTCCAAGAAACAATAATCGTTCTTATCATCTTCAATACTTAACATCAGATCACATACTATCATAAGGTATGCAGTATGCAGCAAAATATTATGATAGTGCCATATCTTTATTTTACAGCTTAATTTAAATAATAGATAATATCAATTGAATTATACTCATTAATTCATTAATATAAACTAACACGCAAACAGCTTTTTTATTGTAAAATGGTAGTGTACTTCAGCGAAACAAAAGGAACGGGTCTGATTGTATTGGTCGGGCTGTCACTGAGCACCCACTCCCGGCCGCTATCCCACTACTGCCCGATACGGGGACTTTTGGCTGCTGGGTTTCCCCCCTGGCCCGGTTCGCCCCTCCTTAGTGAACCTGCACTCCCCAGACTCCTCCGGGGAGTCCATATTAATACCGGGCTTAGTGTGGACGTCCAGTCAACATGGGCCACTCAGCACCAGAACTCCCAACCTCAAACCATCCTCCGATCCCGACCTCCGAGAAGCCGGATTACAGGAGACGCCACGCTCCCAGTCGGAAGTAGTGGCGAAATGTTCTATCGTATTCGTAAAAACATAGCAGAGTTGATGAGAGTTGCGAGAATTTGAATACGTTAATTATTTATCTTTTTTTTTATTTTTATATTTTATGATAAATCATTTCATAATTATTTTTATTATTTGACTAGAAACCCCAAGGAATTACAATAAATAAAAATTGTTTAAGCACACACATTGTACATTTTCTGCCATCTACCGACAATGCACGAAACTATGAAGTCATTGTTGATGTTAAGCCTTTTATTTTGTTCACTTTACCCTCCGACAGATCTCGTTGATCTTAGTATGTGAAAAAAAATTATTATTATTATTATTATTTACATTACCCATAGATTTAGTATATGACATTACCACAAAGTTTTAACTGATTTCGGCATGTTTTTTATTCTGAAAAAATAAATACGTAAACATTTGGAATTTAGTAAAACCATTGTACAAATTCACTGCATCAAAACAAAACGCATAAAAACGAACTTGACAGCTGTTTAATTTTCGTTCTTTGTTTGAAAACGTTGTCAACGGCTGTTTTTAAGAGAAGTCTGAAATATTCAATGATTTTCCTATAATAATCGAATAAACATTCTGCTGACGATGGATTCTGCAGCATCTATTACCTTGAACAGGTATTTTTCTTATTCCAAATCATCAAAGTTTAACTATACCTAGACATGTACGTTTAAACTTGCGCGCTGGATTTTATTGATTTTCTTTCCAAAAATAAGTTTGAAGGATGTAAATAAATCATAAAGTAGACCTTTACGCTTCGTTTGTTAATATTCGGTAAATATCGAGCTATATAAGTTGGGCATTGTGTAGTTTAAGGTAAAAAGCTTATCATTCCCAGAAGTGGTGACACCTCGATTCTGACGCCAATCAAGCCAAGACTAGGTCAATTTGGTGATGTTTATTCTCCTGAACATCTGAACTTGACACCCAGACCTGTAAGCAAATTGACAACATTTTTACTTTATATCTCAGATAGTTGTACAATATTTTGATTCGAAATTTTGGCTTTCAGAGAAATAAAATTAGCCTTAGTGAAGTTGGGAATGAAAATCAAAATTATTTTACTCCTAATAAGTTGACAGAATTTGATTATAAATGCAGGTATGTACCATCTATATTTTATTTACTGTAGATTTGCCTGGACCATATTGTTGTTATTAATACAATGTTTGTATCTTGAACGAAAAAGGTGTACTATGGATAAAGATTTACATTTTAGTATTTACTCAAATTGGAAAGATTTAGTGTGAATTTTTGTACTCTAAAAACTCAATTGATACTGTAAAGTCTGTCTGTACACATTCAGTCAGTCAGTCAGTGCCAAGACTGCTGTCTTTGTCTTTTGTCTAAAAAAAAGTCTGTTATTATGTTTTGTTCAAAAGGAAGTCTGTCTAATTTTGAATTCCTGTCAGTCTAGTTAGTCTGTCTTTGTGGCCAGTCGATCCGCTAGTCATCTGTGGAGGCTGGACACTGGTCACCCTTGGAAGCTGGACATGACAGATACCCAGAACAAAAACAACAATTTCTTTGGCAGTTAAAATTAATGAGATAGATATAATATTTGTTTATATTTTTTATTTTTATCATTTTCAGGACTGTAAAGCCCTATGCCCATTTCTGCAATGTATATGCCAACTGTTCATTTGAGGGCAACCAGAGCTTTCCACGTTTGAGGCGTCGCCTGCACCCCATTAGGATGGAGTTGGAGACTCCTACCAAAGTCAAGGCTGCTGCTGACATTGTTAGAGGTACTTTCATTATTATTAGGTGGATACAATAATTGCATGCATTTATATTAAACACAACTGGTTGATGATGTTGCCATCACAGTCCTGTAAAGGGCCTGAAATCTAGAGAGTTTAAATGAGATGAGAATGATGTCATGGTCTTCAAATGCTTCCATGGTATAATGCCATCATGCCCATGTATAGGTCAATAGTAGTGTCAGTTCAGAGTTTATTCAATAGACCATACATTTATTGTGTTGATTTGGACATAATGCTTTTGGACTATGTAAATTCTGTAACAAACTTGAAGATATGCTACATTTAATGGAATGTGGCCATTATTTGGCTCTAAGAAGCCAATTTCAATTAGGGGATATTTGGCAGGTTGGGGAGTTAAATGTCTTATGATCACGTTGGCAAAGAGGGCTAAAACTCTATATACTCATATGATAATAATAATAATAATAATTCATTTATATGTGAAAACACAGTTTAGATATGTAAGTTGACATGTACAAAATGAGTAGGTATAGTTTCGCTATGTCCGGCCAAACATTTGGCATACAAACATATTGAAAGTATATTTGGTATATGAATATTATAATACAAACATAATTACCGGTATTTACAATATAAAAATGAAAAGAAAAAAAGTGAGGTCTTGTCTGTCACAACGAGGCGACACGATATTGTAGAATAATCCACAGGTATTGATGTCACAAGACCGACATGACACCCAAATGTTACAGGCCTTATTAATAAATAAGATTAAAAAGAAATATATTTTTTTTGTGGTTGGTAATTTTTTTTATCTTGCCTCAAAGTCAAAGTCATAATAATCATTTATTCCATAGGTAAAATTTTTACCGCCTTTTTAATCCGCCTCTACTTAAGTTCTTTTTTATGAACGAACTAACTATTACATAATTTTGTACGTTGTTAATTGCTTCATAATCTTTCAACCAGTGTTCTGATGCACAAAACACGTCAACGGAAAAATCGTGTAAAAAAAAAACTTATTTCTAATGTTTTGCCAGAAAAGCCCTGAATGTTTTGATGTACTACATGGAAATGATTACACTTTTCTGTTGTCGCGTTTACTAGTTTAAATGATGGTTAGTATGTATAATGTTGCTACTTAGAGTAGGAGCTAATATTAAAAGCTGGTAAACTAGCAATATATCTTAGATACCTTAGAGGTAAATGTAAACTATTCTCAAAAAGTTTAAAATTCCTTACAAACTTATTGATGTCAAGCCTAAGTGGGTAGTGAGCCAAAAAGTTTGGGAAGCTATGGTTTAAATGTTGTAAATAGTCATATATTCTACATATGTATATTATAATAAAAGATATTTTGCACCTTGAAACTGACTTTGGAACTATGTACTAAACAGTGGATGGACCAAATGGACTCCGCTTCAACACCTCTCTTGCATCGGTTGACGTTGCCGGTTCGCCTGCACAGTCCCAGAGCGACCGTTTGCAGCAAACTGTTAACCCTAGCAAAGCAGTTTTCACTATCGAACCTAACACTTCTAAGGTGAGGTAACTTTTATAAATTACTAGATCACGGCGTACCCAAAAGTCATGTAAAATATTTTAAATTTTATGATTAATTTAACTGCCTCTGTGGCTGAACGGTTACCATGCTGGTCTGCCACGTAGACGTCCCGGATTCGATTTCCAGGCCGTGAAAAATATTTGTATGGCCTACATTTCTCGTGATTTCTCAATGGCAACCGCGATACAAGGTTCCCTAGTGTGCGGTGCTATGAGTGTGTCCGTCATTATTATTTTATTTCTATCTTTAACCGACTGCAAAAAAAGGAGGAAGTTCTCAATTCGACTGTATGTTTTAAAATTTTTGTGTGTGTATGTTACGCGATAACTCCTATTTGTGAACCGATTTTGACAATTATTTTTTTTTTTGTTGGAAAGAGGGTACCTCAGTAGTGGTCCTACTTAAATTTGAAGAAAACATTCCTTTTCTAGGGGTGGCAAACTAGGGGATGAATGACTTTTGAGGTCGGTTTCTTTTAGTACTCTGTACTGAGATTAATAGACTCTCGCTTCTCCCATGACCTAAAAGATATGAGATATTTTTAAATGGAATGGAAAGGAATTTTACTATTGTTAAATAGCTCATACCTTTTTTTTTATAAAATATAAGTACACATTTGACCTCCATCTCACCTGATAGAAAGTGACGATGAGGTCGACCCTGTACTTCTATGCAATGTCTTGCCTCTCACTGTGAAACGATACCACACAGTATATCACGGTAGTGTCTTACATAGATAGAGCTAGCCATAGCACCCATCTAAGGCTGACATTGACGCATGAGTGTCAGAAGCTAGATGCTAGAAAAATTTACTTATTATAATATACAGTCAATTTCAATTAGGCCTTAAGGACTCAACTAAGCATTAATAAATATATTACTACGCGAGCGTGCTGCATTCCTAATAAATAAGTTTCACTTGCCATCCTGAATTAAAAGAAGAAATTTGTATGGCCTTTATTTATTTCTTTCGTGAATTTAGGTGTATTTGTGGATGGCACCCGCGACACAGTGTTTTTGTTGTATAATTATATATTATAATTAATTAAGAGCTCTCATGTCAAAAAAGTTTTGACGTTGGCTCCGGCCAAATTTGTGAAACAAATATGTGCCTGAAGTTCGCGTGACATGCGACAGGAGATGTTGAATTTTGCGCATTAAAAGTACCAAATTCGTTTTAGCGGAATAACTCTAAAACTAAAGGGATTAAAAAAAAATCCGTAGTGACAGTTGTCGATCATGCATAAATATAATTAATTATCTAATTTTTGTCCTAATAACCTGTAGCATTTCGAGGATAAATCGAAAAAATGTGAAAATTAGAGGTCATTTCGTGATTTTTATCTATCGAGGAAACTTTATTGTTTTATGTTTCTGATTAATGTCTATGCTTGAATATATCGTGTAGTTACTCATATAATATTTTATTTTTAACTTTAAAGTGGATATACCCCTCTAAAATCAAATCGAAGATTAGGAATTTTTCCTCTGCTCCCTCTTAATTACTTAGTCGGCGGGTCTATGTGTCGTATTCTAGAACTTTATTCAATGCTCAACTCAGGATCTGAGTATGATTTCAAGCACTGGAAATGCTTTAAGTCATACTCATGTCATGACTTGAGCAATGAGTAGAGTTCTGGAATACGACCCTAAGAAAATGCATTATTATTTTTATTTGAAGACTGTACAACACAATGTTGTTTTTTTTTTCACCGATAAATCAAATTATAATTAACTAAGTGGACTATATGTGATACCATATAACTCAGTTGAGAAATTGGTCCCAAAACTGGATTATTCTTTTCAGATCCTCATAGTAAACAATAAAGCGTGTTCACTCCTGGGCTACTCATCGGGCGAACTGTGCGGACTTCGTTTCTCCGACCTGCTCAGATGCAGGAGTGCCAGGACATTCAGTTTGCACGAGCCTGAAGATGGGGACACTGCGGAGGATGGAACTGTTGTATTACTTAGTGGAAAGGTAGTTATAATATTATTATTTCTTCACTCACGTGGATATATTAAGGGTAATGAAATTAATACTAACTCAAAAGCAAAGGCACTTGTCATGTGTAATAAGATGCAAGATATTTTAATATTCATAAGTATTCAAAAGTGTACAGGAGTAACAATTTTAAAAATACCATATGATTAAACATCTACTATATTCGTAAAACTGTAACAGCAGACTTGGAAAGAGCTCGACTATATTAGGTTCATCTTCCCCGAACTACCAATATAATATCAAAAAATACGTCACACGAATTATCTTTACAGGCGCATGCACGAACATCGCTTCATTTTTTAGTTTATAGATTCAAAATATTTAATTGTATATTGATAACGTAATGAATATAATTCCAATACTCATGCCAAACAATGTTAACTAAGAACTTTATAATTTGTATAATTCTTACGTTCCTTACACCTACCTACCTTTACCTATTTAGTTCAAACGCCTTTAGGCGTAGCATAGAAGATCACTGTAATTTTATTTATCACCATATATTTAATGTATATATTCTGTAATACTATGTTGCTGAATAAAATATATATTTCAACTGAATTGAATCATATAATATGCTATGGTACTGCCACGGACAATAGAACAATTTTTCCATTGTCGAGTTTTATCTTTTTATTCATATATAATATCAAGTGACGAGACGAACGAGTCGTGCGCCTGATGGTAAGCTACACGCCTGTCCATAACAGTTGCAGTGCCACTTAGAGCTATAATTCACAAAGATCTTAGGGGCACTGCCACTGTGCCCGTCAACCTGAGACATAAGTTGACAAGTCCCATGTGCCTGTAATTTCACCAGCACCCTTACCCTTCAAAATCGGAACGCAGTAATGCTAATATCACTGCTTGGCAGCAGAAATAGGTTAGGTGGCAGTACTTCCCTGGACGAACTCTTTCACAATCAGCTCTAATGCTGCTTCAACTACTTGTATTTCGATTTTGTAAGCCTACTTCGAAGATCTTTCAGATTGCTGCAATTGCAGGCTTTTAGCAATAGCTATCAAATTACACCCTTTTTGTTACAACATTTACGATAGTTTATGTTAAGAAGAATAGCAATTATTTCATGTAAAATTGTGGTAGACATAACATATACAAGGTATAAAAGTCATGCATATACTTAACATTCCAGTTGATATTAAAAATTTGCCATTTTCGAAGTTCAAAACTATAGCGAAACAAATAATTATAGTAAAAGTATTGACACCCGTTTAAATCTTTCTGGATGCTCTATATACGATAGTTATAATAAATATTATAAATCATAAATGTTGAATTCAACTTAAACAAAATGTCTCTTTACTAAAAGCAACTTCTAGAGTTTCATATTCAATAATTTCAGTGTAATCTGTCATACGAATGAGCGTAGTTTTCAATGTGACGATTTCAAATGTATTTTACTGCCTATGAAATAAAGGTCATGTGCTTTGAATTTATGTATGGTGTGTTTTGATAATTTGTACAACCGAATTTTCCATTGTATTACAGGTAGTAGAACTATTATCAAAAGACGGTCGATTAGTGCAAGTGTCATTATGGATCAGGCAGCTCGACAACGACGGGCCTTGTTTAGTGGTAGCGGAGCCAGTTAGCTGTAAGAACGTTGTTGTAAGTAGATATTGCATTTCATGCTATAATCTTGCAATCGCTTATTGTCAACGCAATCAAGATACAGCTAAAAATGTCAGTCTCAGTTCGTCATTCCTACTCGCATGTCAAAAAGATCACACTGCTCTATGTAAACTTTGCTAGTCAAATTTTTGTAACATCATTAATAAAAAAATGTTTTGAAGTGAGTGAACAAATGTGTAAATAGGCATAATATGCAACAGCATCTTAGCCAGTCCCTTGCCCAAGGACACTGATGTGTAGCATAGTGAAGTTAGCTATACCTACTATGTTGAAGTACATGTAGATTATATATTCAGTATGGGCCCCGATGAGGCAAATTTGTACAAATAAAACCTTCTTTAAAAGAATAAAGAAAAATTCGCTTATCAATATATAATTGTGTTATAATTGTCTTACTATCTACAAGACAATTATAACACAATTATATTTCATGATTTGTCTTGTCATGAAAAAATAAATCATATTGTTCATAAGAAATTAAACAATTTTTTCGGATCTAAATCGCGTATACATGTTTTTTTTTTCAAACAAACCAACGTTTCGGGCCCTTTACAGATCCCATGGTCACGGCTGACTAAAATAGTTTCATTACCTATGTGTAATAATAATAATCGCGAAAACTGAATAAATTATATTGTTTTTTTTTCTAGTTAACAATAGACGCAGAGTCTGGTTTGATAGTAGCCTGTGACAGCGACGACGCGGCTCTGCTTTTCCAGGCAGAATCGCGCGACAAATTAATCGGACTGCCAATCGCATCGCTTATACCTTCAATACAAATACCTTATGATACTCTGTTAGCTAAAAATGTTTCCAAACAGAAAGCTACAGGTAAATATGTACAATATGAAATTTAATCTAGCACCTGTCCAAATGTAACAGTGAATCAACCACCAGTCTGAAATTGATCATGAATCAAGCACCTGTTTGAATGTGACCCTGAATCAAGTGTCAATATCTATGATATTATATGACATTTAATCGAACACCAGTCTCAAAGTCAAAGAATCATTTATTCCATAGGCAAAATAAATTTACTCTTGAAATCGTCACTTTTAAGCTACTGCTCGCTCACTATGCTAACTTCCCTGAGAAGAATGAGCAAGAGACTCCAGGGATTGCTCTTTTCAAATAAACTTAAATGCTATGGAATAAATACACTTTGAATCAAGTGTGTTTGTAATCTAGAGCCATGTTGTCTTTCCATACATCTTTATCTAACACATAGTCTTCAATTTTGTAATATGACTTTTCAATTAAAATATTTTTAATGTAGTTTTTAGACTTAGGAAATGATAATCTTAATATATGCTCCGGAATCTTATTGTTAAGATGTATACAGTTCGCCATAAAAGAATCTACTTGGTTTACCGAAATCGTGGTACCATGAATTTGGAGCTCTAAGGTTAATACCACGAAAATCTTTTTTCTTATTGAAATTATGTAAATTTATACAGGCATATACAATATTTCAGTAAATGTACTGACATGCCACAGTCATGATACCTAGTCTGAATGTGAACATGAATAAATCCTTTATATATACATTTTTTAAATTTACATTACATTATAGTAATTATATTTTCATCAAAATTTATTTATTGTCACTGTACTTAAGTGTAAAACTATAAGTTTAGTTATGTTCACATAAATCAATTTCAGGAAGAACTTTAGATGGTGGATCGTTCCCCCTATGTTTATGGATAACAAAACCTGAAAGCAGTGAAAGCACAACGTGGATAAATATGAAAGTACCCAAGGACAGACCAGTTTTTGACGTTAACGTCAGGGTAAGCTACCTCAAACTTTGCCACCTGTCAACATTTATAAAGAATCTTTATTGCGTTTTATTTCAATACCATAATTTGCATATGCTTACCGCACCCAAAATAGGCGCCCTGACATCAAGTTGCGGACACCAGCCCGTTACATCAAGTACCAAGTTGTATATGCTTAGAAATAACTACACTAATAAAATATTAAAAAATATACCCATTTTTGACCGACTTCAAAAAAAGAAGGAGGTTCTCAATTCAACTATGTTTTTTTGTATGTATGTTGCGCAATAACTCTAATTAACTAACTAATTTGTGAACTGTTTTTGATGATTAATTTTTTGTTGGAAAGAGAGTTCCTCAGATATGGTCCCATTTAAATTTGAATAAAATATTCCACCACTAAGGGTAGCAAACTAGGGGATGAATGACTTTTGAAATCGGTTTTTTTAGTACTCTGTACTGAGATTATTTAACAATACATATACTACAATGCTTGCCATCGTAGTGAAAGAATTTGCCAATTGCCAGAGTGAGCCAAATGCACAGGAAAGGGATGATACCCTGTGCAGAAAGGCTCCTTTCATGCAACCCGTCCATACTAACGTAACATTTTAGCTATTATTTGTAGGCGAGGTAATCCAGGATCTGAAACAAAAATAATCGTATCTGAGTAATTAATAGATTCAGGGGTTACTTTGCGGAACTCAATGTTAATAAAAATGGAAGTAAATTAATTTGCTACTCCGCGAACCCAGTGAAGGTTAAATCGTGCAAAATAGCTGCGCTTGTGTTGAATATTTTATTCATGCAGTTAATTATCCACCCTCCCTTCGCATAAAATTAATAAAATAAATAAAACAAGCGCGACTACAGTCACAAACCACCACCAGATCGTACCTGTACTAAGGTACCATTTTTATTATTATTTAAAAATCTATTTTTGAGAGTGAGATTACTGTAATTAGCCCTAAAGCGTGAAACACACGGAGAGCGGGTGGAACTCGGGTTGGGAGCGCAGTGTGTTCCACGCTTAAGTTTTAGAATAACTTCTCCAACTCTAAATCTATTAAGGCCATAAAGTAGTCCAGAGTCGTCAAATTCAACTCTTTAATAATTTCACTTGTAGATAATATACAATTTAAAGTGTCTTTTAATTACTTTTATATTTTTGTCCATAAAGTTAGAGTGCCATATGTCACCATACTTAGGGGGCTATTCTACCCATACGAACAACTTTTACTACCATTTGTCCTGCAAATATTGGTCATAATCATATACGTCCCTTACTACGATGGCTTTCTAGAATAGTGCCCTATCTCAAAAGCGTCTAAGATGGTTTAAAAATCATATCATAGAATATGCTAACATTGTCGTGTGATTATTTTTATCAATGTAAAGCTCTGTATCTCATTCACAATAAAATTTAGCATTTTCTGAACAAATCTCAGTAATAAGTAAAAAAAGGAATTACTTTGGATTTGGCCACAATTCTTTAAAAATATATAATTGGATTAATGTTTGTATATGCCTTGTTTTCCAGGACATCAATTATATAGTTCCTCTTTTACTAAATCGTAATACTTGTGACTTACACTAGTTTATTCAGGTTTTTTTAATATAACAGGTGACGTACAATGTCAGCGGTCTTCTAGTAGTAGACGACAACGGTATAATAACAGCCTGCAACCACCACTTCGCCATGCTGACCTTCGGCAAGCCACACTCGGAAGTGATTGGTTATTACATTGAAGACGTGATACCGAACTTTTGCAGAGAAGTCGATATGGTGAAAGTTAACGAACGGAATAGAAATATGACCCTTTCACCTGTTAATAATGAGAATGATGGTTCCGGTATGTTAAGACACTTCCAATGTTAAAATAATAGCATATATACAACCCGATTGAATTATCTGTAGAGTTGTATGAAACTCATGCTCGGAAAGGTTGGTACAATGTTGGTCAAAATGGTCAAATGACATTTATTTATTGAATATCGCGGTGTTCTACAATGATTTCCATATCGCGCCCCTCATGGAAGAATGGCATAAGTGAAGTTGCGTCAAAAATGTTTATTACTCCATTCATCATCATCATAGCCGGAAGACGTCCACTGCTGAACATATTAGTAATAATATCGACAATATTAATCGATAGAGTTACAAGAATCGCAGAGGATGTAGGTTATATTTTTCCGTATCCAACGGAGCAGTGAACATCTTTGACGTAACTTCACGTAGGCCATTCTTCCATGAGGGGTGCGATATATTCTTTGTAAAAATACTCCCCTAGTTTGTTCTTATTATTATTGTTACAAATATAGAACACAGAAAAGTTCCTTCGATCTGACTGCACTTGAACCAATGTCTGTTACCATACCAGGAGTAGTCCTGGCATGGTAACAGACATTGGTTCAATAAATGAGTGACTTCATAAGTTTCTCACAGGAACGCTGACGGCGAAAAAAACCGTTTAAGCATAATACAAAGATCTGTAACAAATAAAGAAATTCGTAAGCTCTACTAACTGGGTCTGTAGTTGTTAAGAACGGTCTAGATGGTTAAAAGCGGTAGCCCCGGCATGGCAACAGACACTGGTTCCAGTCCATTCGATCGAAAGTATTTTTCTTCATGTTCGATCTTTGTATCAATAATAATATTTCAAATTATTTAATTCTCCAAGAAGTTAATGGTTATTTACTATTAAAAAATCTATCGAATAACATTTTCATGATTTCGCGATTACTATGGCGACGGTAATGAGCGGAAATAAGAAGGAGAGGAATCAAGGTCTGTCTACAGATATTTCAGACGGGTTGTAAACTTTAAGCAAGCAAGTAGATCTAATTTCCTTTAAGCCATTCTCATTTTTCACAGCGTCAGACACAGACGAAGATTCGTGCGGAGCTTTCAACGGCAGTCAAAAATCAGCCTGCATGTCACTTAATGTACAAGCCTCTTTACTCTCCACTACACGAGAGAAATCTTCCAGTGCCCTCTGCCTGGACAAGTCGTGCAGTCTTGTCACCCATACACCCACGCCCACACAAGACATGGTCTCAAGTATAAGCACAACGGAACAAAGAAACGATGTATCTGCGTTGCCCGACGTTACATCAGGCATGTCCGGTATTTCGATAGACGAAGAGAACTTTTGCCATAGTAGTATATCTAAATCTCGCTCGGAAAACATACTGCGATCGGAGCATAGTAATGTTAAACAATTTAAGAATAACGAGAAATCTGATTCTATTTATTATACATCTCAGCATTCGCAAGAAGTTACGCCAACTGGTAGTACACCTAGAGTAAGAACAAATGATCCATCGTTGCGATTGTCTTTTGATTCTAGTAAATATAGGTCTTTGAAGGCACAATTAAAAGACGATAAGAGCAGTCTGTCTCTCGATTTCTGTGACTCTAATGAGACTAGTGCTGATTTTCTTACGCCCATTAATGAAATGCCGCCACCCGGTTGCGAGATCGAAGACTTACCGAGACATAATGGGAATGAAAGCGTCGATAGTTTGAGTAATGATATCGATTTGGAAACTCAGACGGAATCTGCGCCAAGGAAGAAATACGATGGTAAGTTGATCTATTTTTTTTTAATATATGTTATAATGATTTAAAAATAATTAGGGATAGACCTTATTTATTTCTGCCGCACGGCGGTAATGTGTGCGCAGTAATTCCGGTTTTAAAGGGTAACGGTGCCGGTGAAATTACAGGCACATGGGACTTGTGAACTTATGTCTCAGGGTGATGGGCGCAGTGGCAGTGCCCCTCAGATATTTGTGATTTTTATCACCATTACTACCACCCGCCCGACACGTCCGTCCAGTTACTTGGTTTCGTGTAAAATATAAAGGTCCTCAGTGGCATTCGATTTACACTGTGGACGCTGGACGAGGAGATCTTGGCTTTTATTTTTTCGGTAGGATTAATTTGGAATGTGAACTTTTCTAAACTAGTGCAGCTCTAGATACAATAATTATGTACCGATAAGAAAGCGAAATTAATAATATTCATTTCTTTTTTTACAGAAGACGCACCGGAATCGTCTGTAGCCATCCGCCTTCTTCGTAACCTAAAAACCTCTACACCTCAACGTTCGCGGAACAGCAAGTCAGAGCAATGTGAATGTACCACCACAGCGGACTGTCAACACAGAGACGGCACCTACAGAGGCCGCGTGATGCATAAGGATGGAACTGAACTCAGTGAGTAAAATTAATAATAGCTGAGAATTGACAAATTATGACTAAGCATAATAATGTATATTCTACAGAGTTACTTGTTAAAGACTAACAACCTCGCAGAACTATATTTCTAACATCATATAAAACAACTTTTGTTCCGTAACTTCTAACAAAACTTAATAAATTTACCAAAAATAAACTTTTCACTTTTTGTTGTACTGACACTTTTTAGATATGTATTTGGTAGTAAGACTGTAAGGTCAAATGTGCATCTCTACGCACAAAGTTATCACCATTTAGAGCGATCAATTTAAATGTTTTTATTTTTCTGCAAAAGTAAAATCTGATGCATTATTTAAAATTATGGAACAATAATTGTTGTTTATGATATTAGTAATGTATTCCCGTGAGGTTCTTAGTATTTTACAAATAACCCTCTATAAAAAAATGTTTTAAGTGATGTTATTAGGCTACTTACAATACAACGCAAAGTAAATAATATTACTCCTACAGTCAACCATTGCATCTTCCAGTTTAAAGCAGCCAGAAAACTTGCCCTAACCGGTTCTGAACTGATTAATTCTACATTTTTTGTCAACATAATCAACCGCCATTGTTAACTTGTTGTCAAGGCACATAAACAAATACAAATAAACGCAGCCACGGTAGCCAAAAGGTTTAACCTAAAACCTCTCAAACAAAGGGCTTTGCACCTGTTGCGTTCATGGGAATTTATAAATTTAATTTGAAATTTAACATGAGCTTGACGAAACTAAAAATTTTACGTGCTTCTGAGGAGAACCTGTGCATCACAATGATGTAAATTTTCGCATTATTTGACTTTTATAAGTAACAAATAATTGTCACCATCTAGCGTCTGTTAACTTGTTATAAACTACTAACTTGCTTGTCTTAATGTGTTTGTAGTACTCGAAATTTGTCTTGTAACATGTCAAGCTTCGTTACACTGAGCCATTAGAGCCTGTCCAGAAAGCGCTATTTACGCGCGTGTCCACTCGCGCGTAGGCTATCGCGCGTACTCGAGATACTAGAGCTACATACATTCCGTCCAGATACTCTCGCGCGTTACCTCACACGCGCGTAAAACGCTTGCAATGAGCGGGACTCTCGACTCGCTCGTTTTACGCGCGTGCGTCGCGCGAGTCGAGATACTCCGGCGCCATTGCAGCGTCCAGTACTACGCGCGTGTCCGTGGCGAGTGGACGTATTCGGTTAAAAATGGAGCGTGAAAACTTTGACACGGAACTTTTTATTGACGAGATTGAGAAAAGGGTAGCTATATGGGATATGGAATCGTCAGATTATTCTAATAGAATCATTAAGCGTAGGAACTGGGAAGAAATTGTAGAAATTTTTTGTGAAGCTGGTGATTCCGAGAAAAAAAAAAACTTTAGGTAAGTAAATAATACTTTATTAAATAATATTATTCCTTGCATAGATTTTACGTTAATAAACTATATCATTTTATCTTGCCAAGGGAGTTTGTCTTCGTTAACAAAATAATCAGCAAATCTATCTCTTGTATTCAATGATCTCGCATTAGGCCTCACTGCCTCAGTGTTCAAATTAATCAGAGATGTTTCGTAGAGAGTGTGATCATACCTGTAGCCATCCCTTAACCTTACGTAGTTATGGAGAACACAACAAGCCTTAATGATGTTTTCTGCAAATTCTATGTCCACATTCAACGGTCTATGAAATATTCTCCATTTATTTACCAAGATGCCAAAGCAACATTCAATGTAACGTCGGGCCCTGGATAAGCGATAGTTGAAAATTCTTTTTTTTGGTTGTTAGAGATTTACCGCAATAAGGGCGCATTATATTTTCAGACAGGCTAAACGCCTCATCTCCTACTATGACATGAGGTAAGGGGGTTGTATCTATTTGCGATATTGGCTTTGGATCTGGGATATCTAAAGTTTTCTCGACAAGTTTTTTATATAAAATAGAGTCTTTAAAAATTGTGGAGTCATTACTTTTTCCATATGCGCCTATGTCCACTGCAATAAAACAATAATTTGCATCGCATACGGCCAACAAAACAGTTGAAAAATAACTCTTATAGTTATAAAAAAGAGATCCAGAATCGTTAGGTTTTATAATACGGATATGCTTGCCGTCAATGGCGCCGATGCAATTTGGAAAATTTGTGTATTTTTTAAATTGTTTCGAAATTTCTTTCCATTCGGCTTTCGTTGGTTCTCTCATTACTATATTTTGCAGTTTGTTCCATATGACGTAACAGGTTTTCTGTACTATTTCGATAATTGTAGACTTTCCTAATCTGTAGGCATAATGCAGGTCCGCAAAATAACACCCTGTAGCCAAATATCTGAAAAGAAAGTTACATAAGAATTATTATTTTATTCCAATCTTTTTATTGTTTACAGGTACTTTACTGCAGAAGAAGTGGAAAGGGTTGCGTGATGGCTTTGTAAGAGAAATGAAGAAGAAGAAAACCACACCGTCTGGATCAGGAGCCTCAGGCAAAGCCAAATATATTTATTTTGAACGTTTGATGTTTCTTGAAAGATCGACACGGAATAAAATAACTGAGAGCAACATCAACACCGCGTCTGTTGCAGCTGAAGAACAGGAGTTTTCGGGCGATGGGGAAGATGTAATGAGACCTCCACGTAGTCAGACGAAAATGAAGAAAAAACTAAATGCGGCCGACGAAGAATTTCTCTCCATCATAAAAACAAATTTAGCATCTGGAAATCAGCCACAGACATCAAACCAAGTGGAGTCAGATGATGACAAACTATTTTGTTTGTCCTTACACAAAGAGCTTGTTAAAGTACCAGAGGAAAACAGACTTCAAACAAAAATTGAATTAATGAAAGTACTTCAAGCTCATCAAGCTCTGTGTCTTAAATCTGCAGCTGCTCGTTCCGACTACCAACCTTCGACACAATATCATTACCAAACAGAAATGACACAACGTGGACAGAGAGATTATTATGGAGAAACAGGATATACCGCAACAGACCCTTCAACATCTTCGTTTCCATCTGCAACCTTTTCGACTTACAATCGAGGTTATTGCACTGCGTCACGACCACCAACGACGTCTAGCTACAAAAACCCATCACCGGCATCTACACAAGATTCCAATGAATCTGAATTAATGGAACTATACGATAATTAAAATAAATGTTAAGTACCCACCTATACTCGTATTATATAAGAATGATTCATAGTTTTTGTTAATTTTGTTCAAATTCTTTATTTTTGTTAATTGGGTCTTTGTTTATAATTATTAAAGCAATAAAAAATATTACCTCAAAGTAATCACGAGTTTTTCTTCTGCAGAAACAGTATCCCGTACCACATAATTTTGACATGGAGTCAAATCTTCTTTGATCATTTCTAGTAAATCATCAAACGATGCTACTGACATCCGAAAGTAGTTGAAAAACTTTTCACTATATTCTCTGAGTTTTGGGTATAAAGTTATAAACATACTATGCGTCATTCTGTCACGTAGAATGGGATGCACGTTAAATCGTCGACTTTCTCTTCGTTTACGACGTCTCCATCGACGGTATGCAAGCCACAACAACCGCTGTATCCAAGTCCATGTTTATAACTGACCAAATCCGTCTCATCACACGCGCGCGTGATTTCGCTGCATCTGGACGCAATACAAAACAAAACGCGCGAGTGGACACGCGCGTAAATCGCGCTTTCTGGACAGGCTCTTATATACTTCTGTTTTTTTTCTAGATGTCCTATACACTGTATCGACTATGCAACTTACTAACGGATGTAGAGTACGCTGCGTATGGCTAGGCGTACAGCTAGAAGATGGACCGAGGCATACTACTCTCGCATCAAGCGTTGCTTCTACGGCTGACAACTCACTTGCATTGGTAAATACAAATTAAAATCATTTGGAGTAAAAATTTGACTTAGTTATGCAGGATCTAATACACTAAGAGTCATTTATATTGATTTGTTACAAACTAACTGAACCCTGAAACCTGTGGAATTTCAGGGCAACAAATCTGCTAGTAGCCGACCGCACTCTATGTCTATAGTTAGCCAATGTGGTGAGGAACAAGTAGCCGGGGACTACAGTAAACACTATGTAACTCTGAAGCAAATTGGTGAGTTTAAAATAATTTTGGTAGGAAAGTATGGTTTGAGTATACAGGTCTTCAATTTCCCTCCATTTCTTTTAAATGTTGTACAAAAACTCTCCTCCCTATTCAATTATTCCCTGTTATCGATATATCATTGCCATTCGCTATAGTCCTCGTCCACGTCTCTTCACCTCTTCCTTGGCTGTCTTCACTTTCTCTTCCCATCTTTCGGTAACCAAAAAGTCGTAATATTAAATGTCCTACTCTCACTCTCCCTACTTTAGACAATATACTTCTTATGAAGACCCGTCTCTTTAACCTTTGTGTACTACCAACATTGACATATGGTGCCGAAACAGACGCTTTGTACAAACAGCCATGGAGCGGCGGTACTGAACTCCTCGATAAAATTGAAACACGGAAATCCGACGTCAGACGAAAGTTCAAGATGTTGGGGACCGTTTTAAAGACGTTGAGTGGAGTTGAACAACCTCCAAGCCAAGGCCAGGCCGAAGAAATCCGGATTGTCCAATGGCACGCTGGATCGACGACTTAGTAAAAGTCGCGGACAAAACCTAGACCAGAGACTGTGGGTCTATCTAGCGAAAGGAGGCCTAAACCCTGTAGTGGGTAATACAGGGTTGAAAGATCCAAGACTGCAAGGAATGTTGCCAGCTTGCCACAGTGTATGAATAGGCCAGGAAAGAAAATGAGACTTCACAGTTTTTCGTGACATCTTCCCACATATTCACGGAAAAATATGCGTTTTATTTTATATTTATGAAAACCTTTTTATGTGTTTTAGGCAAAGGCGCCTATGGCTGCGTAAAAATGGCGTACCGACGTTCAGATCGGCTGCTCACAGTGGCCAAGTTCATTCTGAAGGAGAAAGTGGGCTCGCAGTTCTGGGTTGATGGGCCTGATGGCAGAAGAGTACCTTTGGAGCTTAGTCTGCTACTTACTTTGAAGCATCCTAATATTGTAAGTAGATTTGTCACAACTCATCGTCTTTCCACACTTTGGTAGATTTTCTATGTCGCCCTGTTCTGATCTATGTAACCGGTGGCGCTACGACAAAAAGGCCGTTTCAACCCAATACAAAGATCCACAACCAGCACATAGAGAAATTCATAAAAACTGCTGGCTCTATCCATAACTCAATTGGCAGAGCGGTAACCACGTTGAGGGAACAGTCGCTGGTTCGAATATAGTCGGGTCGAACGAATTTTCCTTGTTCGATCCTTATATCAATAATAATAACAAACCAGTATTTTAATTAAAAAATAGATTAATATCATGATATATGTGTACCAGAATCTGATGGCATTTAGACAAATTTAATTTGTTGTGGGCAACATCAATATAGTAGGAAAAGATTTACTAAATACTTCGTATATTTTAACTGACCAGAATTTATCTATCTTCATACATGTTTTAAGATCTGTATGAATTTGTGTGTGAGAAAGGTAAGTAATTTCGGACACATTTTAAAATGAAACAAAAAAAAATATCATTTACATTGTGGGTGATAGATTTATTTAGGTTTGCAATTTCAAAGATCAAGTTTATTTACTCCTACTAATCGGCAAGACTTGATACCCGCTTCTAAATCGTAAATTGTTACTTGGATGCATCTAATTCGTCGCTGATTTTGTGATAAACATTATTACAATATTTTATGCTTGATATTGAAGCAGATTCTCAATCATTATTGCTACAAAATCTTTATTTTCAAGTGAAAAAGTTAAGCAGATAGCCATTTGACGCAAGTAATATTTTGAATTGACATTTTAACATTGCTAGGGCTAGCAGCCCAATGGATGAATGGTTGCTGCTCATCGGCGATGTGATATAGATAATATAAACAAAGGTAATTTGTGATCTGTTTAATATCTGGTTTTGTCGGTCTAAACAAAAAATTGAAAACTTGCGATTGTATTCTATTACATTCGCTTTCATTTTAGCAAATAACACTTCTTTTAAAATAGATTAAATAAAACTGCCTATGTGACACTATGATTCTGGTTCAAGGTGAGCGTAGTGGACGTGTTCGAGAATGACAAGTACTTCCAAATGGTGATGGAGAAACACGGCGCCGGTATGGACTTGTTTGAGTTCATTGAACGACGGCCGAGACTCGACGAGCCGCTGCTTAGCCTTATTTTTAGACAGGTACTTTATTGCATGGAATATTCTGAGATATTCGATAAAAGACCACTCGTCAATGGACTTACCTTGGTACCACTGCTTCATTTACTACGAAAAATGTCAAGGTCAATGATCTTGCGTAACTGTCGACTATTTAGGTACTTTGTTATGTAAATTTCATGACATTCAACAAGATTAGAAAAATATTTATATAAAATACTGTTATGACGTAATTTTTTCTTAGGACAATAAATTACTTGTATTCGGTTTTCAGATAGGACAAGCAGTAGAATACCTCCACTCTTTGAACATACTGCACCGTGATATCAAAGACGAAAACGTGATTATAGACAACAAGTTCCACGTGAAACTAATCGACTTTGGCTCGGCCACCTTCATGAGCAAGGATACTCTCTTCTCCACTTTCTATGGCACTACGGAGTACTGTAGCCCTGAAGTCCTGGCTGGAAATAAGTAAGTTGCCATACCACATCTATAATATAAAGCTACTTTGCGTTAGATAGTTGGCTACAAACTTTTGAACGAGATTTTTTGTAATCAATAGATTCAGGCATTACTTTGCGAAAATCCGTATCGTCCGTGAACTCGAGTGAAGATTAAATCCTGCAAAATACGTGGTCAACAACCACAGCAACTATCCTATCCTATCGGGAATCGAATCTGGGACCTCATCAGCGCCCACAGAGCTAACCGTTCGGCCACTGACACAAACTCGCGCGCTGACGTCGCCCACTATTACTATAGCAACGGCGTTTATATCATCGGATGTCAATATTATTGACAATTTCTCGGAAAACTTTGTGTCATTTAACACCAGAGCGAAGCGTCTTTGTGTGTAAATTTTAAAAAAATGGGACCACAATCTGTACAAAGCTAAATCTTTAAATAACGATTGGTATCGTATTCGCAGATACGCAGGCCCGGAGTTAGAGATGTGGTCAATGGGGATAACGCTGTACGTGCTCACGTTCTTCGTTAACCCGTTTTCGGACATTGAAGACACCATTCAGGGCCCATTAACCTTCCCGCAAGTTGTGTCTGAAGGTAATTAATTATTTTTTACTCTGCAAGTTAGTTACAATCAATCATAATAAGCCAGAGTATTTTCACCTAAATTTCAACGAAGATATACAAATATTGTGAATTACAGAAGGAGATAAGGAGAATTTTAACAAACACATTATATGCCTTTTAAAAAACGTGTTATATCTCAAACCGCCAAAATTAATACGCCCCACTCCATTACCGTGGCAAACCGAGCCCTGCCAGTTCCAATTCCGTGTAACAAGAATGTTTTGACTGTTAACAAGGCAAAACCGTATTTGCTCCTTGTTCAACATAAATAGCTTATTTTGCACAGTAATTGTAATAGCTCGATAGAATTTAAGAATTTTGAATTTTAGAATTTAATATTCAATGTACAAAGTAATTTAAATCTATCATTTTATGTTATCAACCTCAAAAGTTCCAAAAAACCGAAAAATCCTTCATGCAGCCTTTTCTCAAAATGTTATTACAATGTACGTACATATTGGTTTTTTTATTTATTTTGCTTTAATTGTTACGGACACACTAATTACAATAATTAAAGAATGTTCAAGAAACATTATTAACAACTTAAAAAGGATTAAGTACCTGTCAAGCATCCCTTTTCACGGTAACGCATACATTCTGACAACATCCCTTACCATCCATCCGCAAACAAAGAAGGGTTGACATGGTAGACATGTAATGAGTTATTTTTTCTATTCCACTGTGTTGCCATTTTATACAACCTATTTAAATCGATTTTTATCGCTTACTTATATTAATTTATTTATACTATTAATAAAATGACTTGCAGATTGTATAATATTGACTAATTTACAACTAATCGTACAAAAAATTGCGGCAGAGTGTAACGGACCTTACATTTCTTCTATATTTTTTATGTATAACTATAGTCTTATCTTTTTTGAAGAGGGACTAAAATGACAGTGCATTGCGCAAAAGTGTTGCCCGCTTGCGAGCAACTAGCGATTGCAGTCGATAAATATTCTATCGACTACGTATCGACAGAATATTGGTCACGCTTATGGAAAAAATAGCCAAACTTGTTTCATTTGAATCATCCTCGACCTATTATTCATCCAATTTGAACACAAGCATATTTGATTTGTCAATTTTTGTAAGATGATACATACATACACTGTATTTAGAACTATTTTTATGAAAAATACAAAGAGGAGACATATTTTAAAATTTTTCATTTTGATTTAATGTAATAATCAAAACCGGCTGTTCTTGTTATAATGTATATGAATAAAAATTTATCTCGGTACTAGTCAAAATAAGAATAAAGAAGGCAACAACGCAATTAGTAATCAGTAGAACATCGTAACATTCACAATTCAGTCATTTTCGGTAAAATTTTATCTTCTTTCACAATTATCGATAAAATTGTCGATAACAAGTACATAACTCTTAAAATTTTATGAACACTAGCAACCCTGCAAATGTCATTTAAAAAAAGACAGAATATAACAAAATACTTTACTATGGTAGTGTATATAAATGAGAAGTTCTGTAATTGTAAGTAAAATATAACTATTTCGTTAATTATTATTATCTGCCCTATATTACGTGTACTACTTAAAGGTTGAGTAAATATTGTACTCTGACTATGCCTAGTGCAATTAGCATTATACACAAATGACCCATAAATCCAACCCATAAACGGTCATTTCCAGATTTCTGTAAACTCTACGCAGAAAAATTACGAATTTCCGGTGATGATGAATTGGATTTTTTCTGAATATACGTGCAACTGATTTGTGTACTGACTTCTATAATAACATTTAGGCTGTTCTGGCTTTGATATGCGGTCTAACTGGCTTAGGCGCAATTTTAAAAACCACGGTTTCTATAAATTATTTACAAACAGTTAATTAAACGGAAACACAGATCAGCTAGAATTTCAATACCACCAGGCAGTTTTTCGTCTTACGCGTCTAAAATTTTTGTCATAAAAAAATGGTTCATTGAACCAATAATTTAGAAAGTAAACTCAATCCTTTATTCATTTACTAAATTTCATGATCTCGGTGTTTCTGTTTAGATTTAGAACAACTCCTGCGCTGGATGCTGTGCAAAGAACCAGCACACCGATGTACAGTGCCGCAACTGATGGCTCACCCGTGGATTCGACAACCTGTACCTATCGCAAACTATATATTCCACGAAATTGTAGATTGCGGTAAGTTTTATACACAAGATATATTTGCCAAACTTTAAAAACATCAACCGCTTTTAATAATGCCGGTATTACTTAAAATGATACGAAGTGTAAGGTCTTTCAAAGCGGAGCGGCGAAAGAACTGTGTTCGCAAACACTAGTATTTCATTAGCTTGACTAAACGACATGTATATGTCAAATTAACGAACAAGAGAAAGAAGCACAGTACTACACATTTCTTCTACTGCTATGTCGAGAAATATTAGAGGATTTGGATACATGCCACCGTTATAAAATATGAACCCAGCTAAACAAACGTAAAGCCAACCCATCTTTTTAGGCAAAAAATAACTTATTTACTAGGAAAATGGGTTCTTTGTTCATGATAAAGTGCTTGCTTAGCTCGTCGCTCTTTACTTAGCTCAAGTAGTAGTTTTTGTAATAGTGCGTAATTATATATAGGCACTGTTAAGAGATAAATAGTTCGGAAATATAATATCAAATAAAGCAAATATTCCGTATTCCAGATCGGCATGAAGCTAACCCAGAGATGTACTACACCGGCAGATCGCCACGTAGCAACTCTCCTGAAGCTCTAGCGAAGGGTACACCCGTTTAAATTGATATTCAGATTTCATCTCACTTATACCTATGATTAATTTGTGAAATCGTGTGCTGAATTTTCCTGGTAAATATTTATAATTTCCTTTGATACGCAAAAAGGCAATTTTAAAACCATTTAAAAATATACTTGATGAAATTTCATTCCTTTGTCATTTATTTTGCATACAAAACAACTTACAGAACGTTCAAATCCATCTGAAGTTGCAGTCCGTTCGGAAGGGAAGAACATATCTCGGGATGAGCCGAAACGAAATTCGTTAGCTCTACATGCTCTGTCCACCGCTGACCGAGACGCGCAGTCTGACAACTACAGTCTTCGCTCTTCAGCTGATGTGAGGATCTACATATTGATATGTTAACTAACTCATGTCATGTGGCATACTTCATTAATTTTTCAGAATTACAGAAAACTCCGTTTGTGCATCCCAATCAAATGTCGGAGTCTCCGGTCACTTAAAACTTAATTGGAAAACGTTTTTGTTCTTTTCGGCATTCATATTCTATCACTTGATCGATGTATGTACGTGAAGTTTATATATACCTCTGCAAATCCATTTCCAGATACTAGACATATCATCGAAACCGGTATCGGAAGCGGCCCTCACGGATATAAGTTCCGACGCGACTGGCCATGCGGCTTGCGATATCGACTACGATTGCGACCAATACGAGTGCGACAGCTGGGACGAGTGCGAGCAGGACAGCTTCTCGTAAACCCGCGATAGCGTGAGACAAACTGACAGAGTGCAACTTAAATTAGCGCGAAGTTCCGAGGAAAGTGTATTGTGGTATAGTAAATTTTGACAACAGTAGTGTTCCTTTTTTTACTATTAATTTGAAAAAGAGAACACTATATTTGATATGATTTACTATATTGTCTACTAATGTTGTATTTTCATCTAACTGACCGAAAGAGCAGCACTTAGAGGACAGTCGTAAAATAATATTGATGCATCCATTACTCGCCACGTGCTTTGTACACGTAAATGGATGCATATAAAAAATTTTAAAGCATAATTTTAAAAGAATGCAATTATTTTTCCTTTAAACATATCCCTAATTATGTAACGTCTTATTTATTTCAAAATGTGATGTGTATTTATTGTCATGATTGTTTATATGTGTGAAGGGAGTGAACAGAGAGAGAGGGAGTGAGTAACAGAGACGAATGGATGAAGAAAACATACTGCGCCAAACCGAAATAACGGAAATTAGGGCAGGATAATGATGCAAATGACCAAATGTCCTTTTAATTTAATAGAAATTACCTATTTATTATTGCCACGTATATGTAGGTTTTATTTTTAGTACAATAGGTTATACTACACATTCTATCTGTATGTAGGTAGATAGCTTCTAACCAGGGTCTTAAACAATTGCTTATGAATTCTGCATTTATTATACAACTTTACTAACATTTTTTAATAAAATACATGTCTTAAACTCTCTTTTAGGGAAGCGGCAACAAAAAATTTCGAAACATTTCACGTTTTTTAAGAAATTCATTCTGCGACTTTACTTACGACAAATGATCTTTTAATTAAAATTTACACTTGTTCTTGTACTAGCACGCGTTTGTTCACTTGAAAAAGATTCTGATAATTGCAATTTCCATTTTAAAGAATTGTTACTAATAAAGCTAAGATTCTAAACTATTAGGTGTAGATAAAGAAAAACTTTACTATCCAGAGGCTATAATCACTATGAAATGGTAAAGTGTTGCCACACCTTGTTTTTATGTTACAGTTGTAGTACAATCCATCGAAAATAACCTTGTCATTATTTTTTAGATTCAGTGAAACACACAACTGACCCGCTAAAGGTATTACTGTTGTTTTTGCGTTAAACCATTCTACTAATTATTTGTCAAAATTTTGATAGATAAATTAAAACAACAACATGTAGCCGATAGAATTTCAGTGTTACCTAGTCTCGTCAGTCAGGTCATGGAAAAATTTCCATTTTGAAAAAATCCTATCTTTCGCAGAAAAATAAATACTTTTCTGAATATTTTTCCACATTTGACAGTGACATCTGTCAAAAGTTGAAGATACTAAACTCTTAAAAAGAATTTGTGAAAATTAGCTAAATGAGGCTTAGAAAATTACATTTATACAGTTTATATAATTTTATTTTATACTTCATACTAAATAAAACATAAAAATATATCTAAACGTAGAACATAACACCAGTCTTCAAATTATATTTTTCCAATTTTTCAAAATTTTTTCAAGAAAAATTTCCACTATTTGAAATTTTTCGGAAAATTACCCAAGGTAATGTTACCAGAGTGTCGTTCGTGCGCGGTACACCTGCTAGAACTAATTTCTTATAAAAATACCATTTTATTGTTGTGCTCCAAGATCCGAATCAAACCGTATAATTTTAAAATAAAAGATTAGAAAGGCAAATCTGTAACAGTATTAATGAAGAGTACGGAGCAGACTTTAGAAAAATATAGTCCGGTCATGTGTGACAAGAAAATTTTTACCATTTCACGGTGATTTATTAATATTCTTATGACTAAAATCAGTATTAGAACAATATATAAGTATTTTCTTACAATCAATGTAGTTACTAAACTTAAAAAGAACCAATCCTATTCCTGTTAGTATTATTGTAAATATTATTAATTACAACATATCTATGTAGTGTTCAAGAGAATGTATTTATGTACAGTTAAGAGCACATCAAGCTTTGTTCTTATTGTAAACGGAATAGAGTTGAATTTAAGTCTTGAGTGACAAAGCTTAACTTGCTCTGACCCTGCATATGTTGCGTCGACAAGTTAGTATACTATATGAACAATGTAGTGATTTGTCTAGTATATTGTGAAAACATATCCAAGTTACTACAATAATAACTGCATCTGTGGCCGAACGGTTACCATGCTGGCCTTACACGCAGAGATCGCGGGTTCGATTCCCGGGCCACCGGGTGAAATATTTGTATTGCCTACATTTGTTTCTTTCGTGAGTTTGGTTGTACTTTCTCGTTGTCTAAATGTGTGTCCATGACACCCGAGATAAAAGTATTCTTTATTATTATTATTAATTGTTGTCTTAATATCTCTCGGGAATCTTCGAATTTCCGAATGCACTCGAGTACAGATTTCCTTGTATAGGAATTATTACATTTTTTATCATCGGAACTTATTTATTTATTGATCGTTACCTAAAGAGCCTTAAAAAGCAGCCACTTAAAAAGGTGACAAATAACTCTATGGTTTGGTATAAGAAGTGCTTACGTCCCTGCGAAGTAATAGGGATTTCGTGTAACAACCCACAGAATTAAGAAATTAAGAATATACTTAAAAATATATACTAAGAATATACTTTATAATAACAAATTTATTCGTGCAAAGACTAACAAAATCCGCCATTTTTTTTTTACATATTCAGAACTACATACTTTATTATTTAATAAAGAGACGTAATAGTCCTCATTTATCACCAGTTTTCAATATGATCTAACTTTCAAAAACAGAATAATATAACCAAAATAAAGATTACAATACTACACTATATACTACAAAGTCTGACAGCACCAACTGCACAGGACAACTGATAGAAATTGAAGATTGCCGAGATATATAAAGCAAATAGTTGGTTATACTTTGATTATTCTATTTTATGGATCCAATGCTCCAAGCACGTAAACCAAATTATTGATGATAAAGTAACTGTATTACTTATGCTACAGGGATCATGCGAATACTACGGCATGCTTACCCAACACTTAACAAACAGACTAATTTGTCGACAAAGCACTATTGAAAGTACATAAGATTATACTTTTGTAGTGTCCAATGGACATTAATTTATCTTGTTAATTAATGTGGGTTGATGACAAATGATAACATAACATGTTACAAATTATTTTCTTTGCGATTGAATTAATGAATCCACTCCTTGTGTAATTTTTAAAAATAAAATATGTGTTTGTTTCTCGCTCACACCGTTGTTCAAGTGAGAGACAAATAAAATTGACATTGAAATCATTTGAATCAGATTTTTCTATTGGTAAATTTCTTCTCTAAATTTGTCGTCAACCAAGATAATCTTTGTCTTTGTCCGACGCGTCCGTTTCTCGATAGTGCCTTATGACGGACGATGGGTTACTTTGCTTGAGTTAGGTCAATCATAAATAAATGACATTAATTATCCTAATCTCTTTTATTTTCTTCAAACAGTTTTCAGCACTTCTTTGCCAGCAAGAATCAAAACATAAACGCCACAAATACATAGCCATATTCCATTCCATTCTTATATAACAGGAGTGCCGCAAATTTAAATCCCCGCAGTCACCAAGCTCTTATTACATAAAAAGTGACCATGGTCGATTTTTTCAAATTTGACTAGTCAAAAAGTCGCCATTTAGTCGTTTCTAGTCGCAAAAAAGTGGATTTATTCGGTCCGCCGTTCAAAAGTTATGGTTTAGTGTCCACGCTGGAATAAGCTTTTTCCAGCGGCTCTATTTTTGATACTCTAGATTATCAAAAATGGTACTGTCGGCGTCGGAATAAGCTTATTCCAGTGTGGACAATAAAATATCCTGGTCATAGTCACGCTGAAATAAGGCACGCTTATGTATCACCATCAGAAAGTGCGCGAAACTGGATTCATCCCCTAGTTTGCCACCCTTAGTAGTGGAATATTTTCTTCAAATTTAAATGGGACCACTACAGAGGTCCACACCTCTGCATGCGCCGTAAAATTTGCAAAACGTAAAGTGGCCGGCGTCTGACGCCTCACTGCGCTCGAGCAAGTGACGCTCGAAACCTCGTGAATGCAAGCGTCGACGCCCTTTTCCATATTTGCATAACACAAATTTGTACCTTAGTAATGGTAAAATAGAGATGAATATACTAAAGGCGAATCATGATGCGTCGCGACGCTTCGACTCTGCGCCAGTGTGAGTTGAGCCTAAAGCATAAATAACCGCAAACATGGCAGCACTATGGCTAAACAATGAGAAATATATTTTTTAATTGCAACACTGACCATAAAACGTCAATTCATGGCGGTGCGGTGCTTTTTTGCCAATCACTACCGGATTTTAATAAATTTAACAACTTTTACGTCTAAACAAAGACCGTTGTTGAATTATACCAAAACTGCTTCCACTTTCACCGTTCCTAGATATAGATTTGTGAGTATATATATTTTTTAATTACTTATTTTTGTCTATTAGGTGACGCTCGTGAAAGCTATTTATGAAATTATCTTGAATTGTTATCAGTGCATTGTTTCCAATGCAATTTTACGGTCAATTATAGTATTAAATTATCAATTTATTCAAGATTAGGTGATACAATTCGGTCAGCAAATATCTTATAATTAGTTCCAATACTTTTATATTTTTAAATGTTAGGTTACCCAGATACCCTACCATCTGGACTGGTAATATATCTGTATGGACTATAGAGAGAATATTCTTCAAGTGTTTATTATTTCTTTAGACACTTAAAATATAAATACATTTAATTGCATTTTGATAGAAATAGTGAATAAGTACTAAATAAACTTAACTTGATGACTAAGGGTCGTATTCCAGAACTCTACTCAATACTCAAGTCAGGACTTGAGTATTGCAGTGAGCACTGAAAATCATACTCAAGTCCCTGCCATTAGGGTCGTATTTCCAGTGCTTGTGTTTCCAGTGCAATCTTAATTTACTTGAGCATTGAGTAGAGTTGTCGTATTCTAGAACTCTACTCAATGCTCAAGTCAATTAAGATTGCACTGGAAATACGTCCCTAATGGCAGGGACTTGAGTATGATTTTGAGTGCTTTAAACCATACTCAAATCCTGACTTGAGCATTGCAGTGAGCACTGAATATCATACTCAAGTCCTTGCCGTTAGGGTCGTATTTCCAGTGCTTGAAATCATACTCAAATCTGCTCAAATCCTGACTTGAGCATTGAGTAGAGTTCTGGAATACGACCCTAAGATAGGAATGAAAAACTGCAAAGTAGTTTTAAGTGTTGGTTGTGCTTCATTTATGTACATGAATATTTGGCACTATGTAACACAAAGCCCTCTGCCTCCTGTGAACTATATATTACGTACAGGTTTTCCATCCATTCTTAAAAAACGGACCTGTTGAACCGGACAAATTAAATAGTAGGTGTGTCATTTTTTTAGGACAAAAGTCAACAACAATGAAACATGTATTATTAAAAGAAAAATTAAAAGAGTGAAAACTTAATAAATTTATGATGAAAATGATGGACATAAATTAACCTTAACATTTAGTTTTACTCATGTGTAATTTATATTTCTCTAGTTAAATCATTTGAGTGACATTAACATAGATTATTTATGTTTTTTTTGTATGAAATAATTTATAATAGATAATGGAGCATTATAGCCTGATAAAAATTTGTGTAAGAACTTTTGACTTTTAATGCATGTTTATTCAGGGAGACATCAAAATGTAGCAGGTAGTCAGCAAAAAATATTGTTTCGAAGTAAAATAAATAGTAAATAAAGACCAGAAGAGAAAAGTAAAATGATTTGGAGCCTGGACCGAACATTGATGTAATTTATACATGAAAGTAGGTAATATTACATAGTTTATACACAAATTAAAGAAATTATTTACTAGGTAGAATTACATTTTAATAAAAGACAAGACAAAAACAGTTATATGGCAACACAAAACTATTACTGATTTATATTCCTTCTATGTTTATTATCTCTAATATTTTGATTGAAGACTTGAATCCAAGGTCATGAGATAAAACAAAATTAAGCCAACCATGATATGTTTACATAACTATATTAATCCAAAACACAAAACTAATAATTGGCAGTTAAAAAAGCTGTAAGTCGTTTGAAAGGGAAAGTTGAATCAATAGAACACAATCAGCATTTAATGACTAAGGAAGAAAAGAGTCACAGGGCTCTTTGTCCAAACAACATAAAACTATAACACGGATCTGTTTCTATGTAAAAAAAAAATGAAAAAAAAAAAGCTTTGAGGAATGGCTACCACCAGAACATCAAAATAAACTACATAACAAATAGACAGTGGTGGTTTATACATAACCATAACTGTCCATTTAGAAATTTAAAAAAAATCTCTAAATATCTTGTATACAATAATAAACGCAGTTTCATGTACATTTAAAATTACTCAAAATTACTTAAGCGGTGTTGTTTCCTAAGCGACGAATGGCTTTTTTAAGAGAAAGCTATTCAAGCACGACATGGAATTTGAATGTACTCCAATGTATTGGCAATATTAATATCAACATAAATAATTGTGTCTTACCACATATAAAAATTCAAAATAATACATGTTTAATTAGAATTTTAAAAAGTATTAGAAGTGCTTATGTAATATAAATATAATTCAATATAGTGTTAAACTGTGTGATATTGTATCTGTAATAAGTTATTTGAACAATAAATAATTGTGTCACATTATTTCAAAATAATTGTTTGTGATTTCAAAAAGTATTTATACATGTTTCTGGTATTAGTAGAGTGTGGAACTATCGTTGCCACTTTTTACTTATATGAGTTTTCTAATTATTCTTCCTCGTAATTTTGAAATGGTGCTCAAATACCGGACGATAAATTAAACTACTCTTTAAAGTGTATAGAATATATTACAGATGTATCGAGTTTAATAAATAAAAAAAGTTAAGCAAGAGATAAAAATAAGAATAATATGTACGTTTTTTTATTGTAACTAACTAGTGGAGTAATTTCACAAAAATAAAAGAATATCATGGTAGTAAAACGTCGTGTTATTCAATAAACAACTATTAAAACGACATCTCTAGTCAGGCAAAGGGTACCTGGTTGAGTGACGAAAAACTCATAGATTTCACACAGATGGCTCTACAGCAAAAAAGTAGTAGATAGAAACAAAAAACAAAGATTTGCAACAATCACAGAAAAACTCGTGAGGTCTGCTGGTTCGTTTCATAGCTCAGTTGGGAGAGCGTCAGGCACGGTATACTTGTTAAGGCGCTGGTTCGTATCCAGCCGGATCGAAGGAATTTTTCTTAGTGTTCGATTTTTGTATTATAGTACCGGCACGCTATGATGGTCGTTTTGACGTTAGCCCGTTCATCAAGTTTTGTATTAATTCATAACTACGTTGAGGGAGCTACTTGCTTTACATTATTGTCAATAGTGACGTTCAGTAAAATTTATTGAAATTTTACGACACAACTCGGCGTTTGTTGGTCTAAATTCGATATTTTTTTAATGAAATCTAATATCGTCACTTATGGAATCGCTGGCCAGCACAACTTCAACCTCCGACAAACTCGCGTCAAAGCTCAATGCGAAACAAAACAGTTTCGAATTGACAATAAATGAAATGACAACTTTTCAATAACTAGTCGATAACTTATTTTATGCTAAAATGAGATAGTTTTAGTAAATATTTCATTTAAGAAGACTGGTATCATTACTGTGGCGTCAAAGTACATTTTACTCAAATATTTTGTATGCTCGCAAAAATGTAGATAATTTCATTTAAAAAGGTATCCATAATATAACTGCCTCCGTGGCCGAACGGTTGCCATGCTGAACTGCCACGCAGAAGTCTCGGGTTTGATTCCCAGGCCGGGAGAAATATTAGTATGGCCTACATTTCTCTCGTGAGTTTGGGTGTAATTTGTGGTTGTCTATGTGTGTGTCCATGGCACCCGCGATACAAGGTTTCCCAAATGCGGATATGAGTGTGTGCGTTAAAAGAATGTAACAAAAGAACGAATAGTTATATAAGACTCTCTTCTTCAGGACTTTATTTAATATCATTTATTCAACATTTAAAATATGAAATGTCAGAAATTCAATGTATTGCTCATTATAAAGTTTACAATGGTCTTAAATAACGTATAGGTTCTTATTGTATGATACCCTCTATGGGCATATCAATGAAGGACGATACATTTTTATTTTCGTTTTATTAGAACTTTTCAATCAGCTACCCCTTGCTTGCTTGTAATATACTAGTTATAAATCTAAAATCTTATGGATGTGACTCGCATTTGATTATATTTTTTTCGATAATGTATTGAGATTTGACCTCACTATTGTAATCTGTCAAAACGACCATCATAGCGAGCCGGTACTGTAATAATTAAAAATAATAATAACTAAAAATTAACTGGTGTAGTGTCTTTAAAATAAAAATTGCTTTCAGCCTTTCCATTGTGGCTCCTCCCAGCATCTTGGAGTGGAGTCTTTATATGTAGGTATAAAACAGTAATGTTTTGTGTTCTGTTTACCTAATGACATAATGAAAAAGCAAAAGTATGACTTAAAACGAAATCAGTTGATATTAGTTTTATATCTTGCACATTCATACATCTCGTCGTGCCCGTCTCCTGCTGGGACAGGCAGAGGCTTTCCATAAATTACTTTATCGAATTAATTAATGCAAAAAAAAGATAGCGTATCAATTTCATTATCGATTGGTTAATTATTTATATTAATTATTGCAATAAAAAAAATGACAAATTTCAATATCAATTTATTACGTTGGATTGCTTTTCCTTTTGGTTTTTATTAATTTGTTACGATTTATCAACTATAATATTAATATACCATCATATATCATCATCCTATTTAAGAGCCAGGCTCTCGTCTGTATAGCCTTCTCCACTCCTCACGGTTCATAGCCAGCTGCTAGACCACTTTATAACTGCCCACTTTGACGTTCTTTTTTATTTGTTCACGGTACGCAATTCTTGGTCTTCTTCTTTTTCTTTCTATCTTTCCCTCAATTATAAGTCTCATAATTTCGTCGCTACGTAATGTATTCATTTTCCCTCTTCTGTTTTCTACTGTCTTTAAAAGATTTCTCTCTTCCTCTCTCTAACCAAACCCTTTTTAAAACTTCTTCACTTCGATGCCTTACTTTCTCAAACTCGTATCTTATAAAGAGTGATTATTTAGGAGATGGCAAAACTTTCTATTTATTTGGAATTTCTTATTAAGGGCGTTAATTTGGATGCATTACTTTAAGAATAGGTAAAAGTCAGTGTGTGAATAAGAAAGAAACGTGATGTGAAATCAGCCTGCTAAATTTGTATACACAATCCATTTTTTGCATTTCAGTAACTTTGTGCTTTATGATACGAGTTTGAGAAAGTAAGGCGACGATTTGATATCTCCTTAA